CACGTTCGAGTGTTATTGAGATTTCAACATATATAGTACGGGGATTAGTGACAAGGTCCCTAGGGACCTTGTACAATTTTAGAAGAAATAACAAGTTACTTGTCTTCATGTTTTGATTTTTTTTTCACTTGTTCTTCAAATTATTTCATTCCTAATATATATGCAGGACGTTAATTTAATCAAAAGACAACATAAATACCAAAGAAGTTGCACATGCACAGTCGAAACATCGAGCAACTCTTTGTAGGTCCCTAAGGACCTTCTCACGAATCTAACGTCATCGGCACTGTCACTCATCGGAGGGTTAAATGATTGAGATAATGGACGCTTCTGTGCTCAGTTCAGAGCTTGAACTTCAACATTCGTTTAGGATATCAGACTGATGCAGTATTTTTCAAAAGAAGAACAATGCTTCGGCAAAAGCATTAGAGTCAGCTGAAGAGTGAACATATTGACTGACAGTCAGGCTGTCATCAGGGTAGTAACTGGAGTGATGAAGTACATGCTCTGTGTAGAACAAAAATAGATGAACTCTGTAACAATATTTAGACGGACGAATATCTATTTCGTGTTCGCTCTTGGTGGATCTAAAGTCTAGTTGTAGTCTGTATTACAGATCCATGAGAATCTCAGCCAAGCTGACCTTTGAACACAAAGTATGTTTTGAAGTTAGTTATATAAAATTACATGTAATAAACATGATTCGATTTTCGAAGGAAAAGCTAAAATTTTAGGAAATGAAAAATGGCACTGAGGATGGCATAACGTCGAAACGGGTAGGCCGACCTTAAAAGGTCAACGCACAGAATTTCTACTCACTCCGTCTCAGTAAACCGGAAATTCGTTAAACAACGGCATATTTGGAGGATACTATGGTTTTTTACTACTAGTAGGATTGAGTGTGAAGTCCTAATTGAATCGGCGACCTAATTTTATAATATTTTAAATTAAAATTCATAAAAAATTGTGTATGGGGCACCCCTTTATTTTGTTTAATGTAGGTTTTACCCAACTTTTTTAGGGCTTGCTATGTAGAAGGGGTTGAAAAAGATAAATTTTTATTTAATCACAAAAATCTTACAAAATTTGTTCTTTAAGTCTGATAAATTTGACATATTATTTAAATTTATTCGTTGACTTAAAGCTGATCAAAGTCAAAATATTTTTTCGAATTTTCGCGATTTATAAAATCAAGCTTTTCGAACCCTGGTATTTTTTTAATTGTTTTAATTTCGTGGATGTCTTTATTTTGTACGGTATTGAATTTTATTTAAGGACCGCCCTAATATGTATCATTGGCTTAAATTCTGCGCTATATTTTTACAAAATAATGATGTTCG